CCCCCCCCACCATTCCTCTTTCTCACTATTTCTCTCTGTGCCTCCATCCCTCTCTCACTCCCTGTCTCCCCCAACCCTCATCTATATCTCACGCCCTCTCTCTCGCTTTACTTCCTCAGTCTTATTTTACACAGCCTGCATCTCTATTGTTATCTTTCTTGCTCTTAAAAATATTAAGCTCCCTCTCAAGAACAATGTCTTTCATATAAATCAAGGGCAAGAACACAAGATTAGAACCCATGATGGGACACCTAGAACAGACTTCACTGTCAATAGAAATCACTCATAGAACCAGTAAAAAGAAACATACACACTACCCATATCAGGGATGATAAATCTAAACTGGAGAATCCCTACACTCACAAAGCCATGTATCATTCAGATGTCACACATTTTAAATTGATTTGTCAATACAATACCTTCAATGTCTCCATTTGCTTTGTTTGTTTAAGTAAAGAGAAGTACATAGACACAATAATGGTCATTTAGTGTTGGGAAAAGGTAAGACAGACAGACAGAAACAACAGATGAGAAGTGAAGAAGTAGAACCTACCAGTGGCACCCTTCAACCACCCCCAATGTCTCCGTTCAAACCATAAAAATGTGACCACAAAATTTTTTTACCAACAGCACATCGATACTGAGAAAGTAGGCTTTCGAGGTTATGATAAATTGATGCTGCTTGGTCTTGAGATACCTTTGTTAGCAGAACAAAGTCCTAGGGCAGAGCAAATTTGGTCAGGCTTAAGTTCCTGCAGCAACAACTGGATGATGGTTGGGCCGTACTGCTTGACCAAGTCGTCACATTGCTGTTTCAGATCACCAGGGAGGATGGCACACACTCTGTCCAGCATCTGCTCAATCTCAGTCTGAAACAACATCACACATGTCTTCTGGAATACTTAACCCACAACATAAAACAACATCGCACATGTCCACTGACATGTAAAAACAAAGCAAAATTTCACATCACATTGCCAGAGTATCTTTGATTGTAAACTCACTAAACACTTTGCCCCCACAGGACGCGATCAGCGACGGTAAAAAGCCGCATCTTTTCCCCACGGGACGCTGATCAGCAACTGTGTGATATAGCGTGTACCGCATCTGTATGCTGATCCGTGGGGATAAGAGTTGCGCGGTCTGAGCGCTGTGCGGGTGGATAGTGTTAACATCCATTGCCATATTCACCTTTAATGTTTAGCGACTGTACACTTAAAATGTTCTCAACACTAACAAGCATGAAACAACACTGCAATTCTCAGATCAAGGTAACAAAACTATTTCTATTTGACCAGACTCTTTGATAAAGAACAATCTGGAGGCACAAGATATATCATTGACAAATCTAATACATTTTTTGTTGTTGTTTATACTCATATTTATGAATCGCTTTTCACATGCAGTTTAATCCTGTAGATTAGGACCTAATTCATGAATGCCTCATTAAAAACCAAAATCCACACAGAAAAGTAAAATAAACAGGAGCCCTCACCTCCGTGCTGTTTTTCTCTAGGAAAGTGTCCAGATACTGCACCACAAGCTTGCAAAGGTCACACAGTTCACTGTTTGGTTGAGCCAATTTCACTGTGGCAACAGAGAAAAAAAGAAAGGAGAAATAGCAATTAAATCTCATGGAGTGTATACATTACAGCAATACAAAAAATACGAAGAGCATTTGAGGATAAGATAGAAAAATATACAAAGTCATCTTCGAATATCATCAAACCACTCAGCCATTGTTACACATTCAAAATTGAACCAATTTAATGAATACCTATGAAAACAACTAAAAATCATTGTTTAAATTCAGTAATAGTTTATAGTATGATTAGAAGAAACAAAACTAAACAACATACATTCAACAACAAATACATGCAAGAGACTTTTGGACTAAAATAACAATCGACTTGAGAAATTGTTCAAACTGAGAAAATAAACGTTTATCCCATGAGATCAGAAACAAGATCATTAACAAGCCTGTCCTGAGATACCTTTGTTAGCCGAGCAAAGTCCTAGGGCAGAGCACACTTGGTCAGGCTTAAGTTCCTGCAGCAACAACTGGATGATGGTTGGGCCGTACTGCTTGACCAGGTCGTCACATTGCTGTTTCAGATCACCAGGGAGGATGGCACACACTCTGTCCAGCATCTGCTCAATCTCAGCCTGGAACAACATCACAAGCCCAGGACTTTTAGATGAAAATTAACAATCAGATTGAGAATAGGTTTAAACTATTTAAAAAATGATTATCCCATGAGAACAAAAACAAGATAATTTAAAAGCTATTTCTATCTAATTAAAAAAATGCCAAATCACTTTTCACTTTTGTACTTTTCTCTTAGACAAGACTTATTTCTCACTGCCCCTTTCAAAACCAAAATCCACACAGAAAAGCAAAACAAACAGGAGCCCTCACCTCCGTGCTGTTCTTCTCTAGGAAAGTGTCCAGATACTGCACCACAAGCTTGCAAAGGTCACACAGTTCACTGTTTGGTTGGGCCAGTTTCACTGTAGTTACAAATAAAAGAAGAAAAGAGATAGAATAATCAAATAAAATGGAGTGTATCTATTACAGCAATGCAAAAAAAAAAGAAGGGTATTTTAGGTTAAGGTAAGAAAACATTATACATAATCATCTACAAATATCATCAAACCACTTAGCCATTGTCATGTATTAAAACTTGAACACGTTTAATGAAAACAACATATTAAAACAGCTAAAATCATTTTAAAAACTCTGTAATGGTTTAATAAGATGAAACAAAACAAATCAAACTACATACAACAGCAAATCTCAGCTGAGGAATTTTTGACTAAAAATATTAATAAAGTTGAGACAAAGCTCAGGTTTAAAAAAAGACAATTATCCCATGAGAGCAGAAACAAGATCATTAACAAGCCTGTCGTGAGATACCTTTGTTAGCCGAGCAAAGTCCTAGGGCAGAGCACACTTGGTCAGGCTTAAGTTCCTGCAGCAACAACTGGATGATGGTTGGGCCGTACTGCTTGACCAGGTCGTCACATTGCTGTTTCAGATCACCAGGGAGGATGGCACACACTCTGTCCAGCATCTGCTCAATCTCAGCCTGAAACAACATCACAAGCCCAGGAATTTTAGATGAAAATTAACGAAAATTAATAATCAGATTGAGACATGGCTCATACTAGAAAAAAACAAAGCAATTATCCCATGAGAACAAAAACAAGATCATTTACAAGATTGTTTCACAAAATTATTCCTATCTAAAAAATGGCAAATCACTTTTCACTTTTGTACTTTTCTCTTAGACAAGATTAATTTCTCACTGCCGTTTTCAAAAACAAAATCCACACAGAAAAGTAAAATAAACAGGAGCCTTCACCTCCGTGCTGTTCTTCTCTAGGAAAGTGTCCAGATACTGCACCACAAGCTTGCAAAGGTCACACAGTTCACTGTTTGGTTGGGCCAGTTTCACTGTCACCATGGATAGAGAATGGAGATATTATATGTGTCCATCAATATTGTCAAAGAAATTTAAAAACTATTAAACAATTTCCCCATTATCATGAATTCCAAATTGAATACACTTTATGGAAACAACTAAAATCATTACAAAATTATGTAATGGTACAACATGATGAAGAACAACCAAAACAACCAAACACACATACAACTGCGAGTGTCATCAGAAGACTTGGATTAAAAAACCCCATCAAGTTGAGACAAGGCTCATGCTAAAAAAGACAAACAATTATCCCATAAGAACAGAAACAAGATCATTGACAAGCCTGTCCCAAGATACCTTTGTTAGCCGAGCAAAGTCCTAGGGCAGAGCACACTTGGTCAGGCTTAAGTTCCTGCAGCAACAACTGGATGATGGTTGGGCCGTACTGCTTGACCAGGTCGTCACATTGCTGTTTCAGATCACCAGGGAGGATGGCACACACTCTGTCCAGCATCTGCTCAATCTCAGCCTGAAACAACATCACAAGCCCAGGAATTTTAGACTAAGATTAACAATCAGATTGAGATATGGCTCAAACTAAGAAAACCCCAAAAACAATTATCACATGAGAACAAAAACAAGGTCATTTACAAGATTGTTTCACAAAATTATTTCTATCTAAAAAATGCCAAAGCACTTTTCACTTTCAGGCTGTTCTAATGGACAAGATTTCTTTCTTTCAAAAAACCAAAATCCACACAGAAAAGTAAAACAAACAGGAGCCCTCACCTCCGTGCTGTTCTTCTCTAGGAAAGTGTCCAGATACTGCACCACAAGCTTGCAAAGGTCACACAGTTCACTGTTTGGTTGGGCCAATTTCACTGTAATGAGGAATTAAGAAAAAGAATTAATTAAATATACTGAAGGGTGTGTATTACAGCAAAAACACAGCAAGTAAAAAAAAAAAAAATTAAGAGCATTTCATGTTCAGATATGAGGACATAATGTTCATGTGTGATTGTGAGTATCGCTAAAAGAATCTTATAAATATTTAAAAAATTAACCCATTGCCATGAATTCAAAACTGTATATACATAGACACACAACTGAAACCATTAACTCACTTGCGACTGGGCCCTTTCACCAGCCACAAGCGTTGAAGACTGGCGTTTTGGGGGGTATTTCAATAAATCACCACAACTCTCAGAATTACCCTATTGTAATCATTTTTTGACACAGTAAAGTAACATTCAAGCTTAATCTAATACAAAAAACTAAAGTTGTCTAAGTGTAATACTTTAATTTGTATGATTTTTAAAAAATTGGCATGAATTTGATTTTCGAAAAATTTCCAGAGACGTGACAAGTAGAATGAAATTCACTGCAACAACAAAAATAAAAGTTCAAAGTGTTCTGGTTTGATTTGTATACATGTGCAAGTGCTTAGTGAAAATATAAAAGCTGGTCTGTGCATTGATTCAGACCCATACACTGAATTACATGAGACAGATGTACGGCACGACGTTGTGATTTCGTTGCGCGAAAAACAACACCGGTACTAGTGCTAGATCTAGCCCTAGAACTACGACTCGGGCCGTGTTCGGGTACATATCCAGGATCCTAACTATTAGACACATCATATTCTGAGACACTAGAACTAGTAAAACGCACAGAAGTATAGAAAACGGCGAAATTATGTGATTCTTGTTCATGCGACTTCTTCGACCGTTACTACGACGCGACTGTCGGATTACTATGAGCTGTATAGAAAAAAACAAAGCGCGAGTTCCGGTCTGTTCAACCTCAGTTGGGGTCACTGTCCTTCACCTTCAATAATTTAAAAACTACCGGACCCAGAGATACGAAACGAAGTCTAAGTAGCTCAGGCTTGGCCAAACAAGGGTACGAGGCGGGTCTCGCGATCCGTGCGTGATTTGTAGAGCGAAAAAAAAATTCCAAAGTTGGTCACGCAGGGCTTGTGAGACCCGACGCGAGCGTCATGGCGGGGGTCACGCAACTGTTGTGTGACCCGTCTGAAGTGAGTTAAAAAAATTGTAATGGAATAATATCTTGAAAAATAAACCCCAACAAAATAACACAGAGACAACAGCAAATATCAGCTGAGGACTTGTGGACTAAAAATAGCAATCAAGTTGAGACAAGGCTCAGGCATAAAAAGACAATTATCACATGAGAGCAGAAACAAGATCATTGACAAGCCTGTCCTGAGATACCTTTGTTAGCCGAGCAAAGTCCTAGGGCAGAGCACACTTGGTCAGGCTTAAGTTCCTGCAGCAACAACTGGATGATGGTTGGGCCGTACTGCTTGACCAGGTCGTCACATTGCTGTTTCAGATCACCAGGGAGGATGGCACACACTCTGTCCAGCATCTGCTCAATCTCAGCCTGAAACAACATCACAAGCCCAGGACTTTTAGACTAAGATTAACAATCAGATTGAGACATGGCGTGAACTAAGAAAACCCCCAAAAAACAATTATCACATGAGAACAAAAACAAGGTCATTTACAAGATTGTTTCACAAAATTATTTCTATCTAAAAAATGCCAAAGCACTTTTCACTTTTGTACTTTTCAGTTGGACTGGACTTATTTCTCATTGCCCCTTTCAAAACCAAAATCCACACATACAAAAGTAAAACAAACAGGAGCCCTCACCTCCGTGCTGTTCTTCTCTAGGAAAGTGTCCAGATACTGCACCACAAGCTTGCAAAGGTCACACAGTTCACTGTTTGGTTGGGCCAGTTTCACTGTCACCAGGGATAGAGAATGGAGATATTATACGTGTCCATCAATATTGTCAAAGAATTTTTAAAAACTATTAAACAATTTCCCCATTATCATGAATTCCAAATTGAATACACTTTATGGAAACAACTAAAATCATTACAAAATTATGTAATGGTACAACACGATGAAGAACAACCAAAACAACCAAACACACATACAACTGCGAGAGTCATCAGAAGACTTGGATTAAAAAAACCCATCAAGTTGAGACAAGACTCATGCTAAAAAAGACAAACAATTATCCCATGAGAACAGAAACAAGATCATTGACAAGCCTGTCCTGAGATACCTTTGTTAGCCGAGCAAAGTCCTAGGGCAGAGCACACTTGGTCAGGCTTAAGTTCCTGCAGCAACAATTGGATGATGGTTGGGCCGTACTGCTTGACCAGGTCGTCACATTGCTGTTTCAGATCACCAGGGAGGATGGCACACACTCTGTCCAGCATCTGCTCAATCTCAGCCTGGAACAACATCACAAGCCCAGGACTTTTAGATGAAAATTAACAATCAGATTGAGATATGGCTCAAACTTTTAAAAAAAACAACCCAACAATTATCCTATGAGAACAAAAACAAGATAATTTACAAGCCTTTTTCACAAAATTATTTCTATCTAAAAAATGTTGAATCACTTTTCACTTTTGCACTTTTCTCTTGGACTAGATTCCAGATTTATTTCTCATTGACGCTTAAAAAACCCAAAATCCACACATACAAAAGTAAAACAAACAGGAGCCCTCACCTCCGTGCTGTTCTTCTCTAGGAAAGTGTCCAGATACTGCACCACAAGCTTGCAAAGGTCACACAGTTCACTGTTTGGTTGGGCCAATTTCACTGTAAGGATGAATTAAGAAAAAGAATTAATTAAATATACCAGAGCGTGTGTATTACAGCAAAAACACAGCAATGAAAAAAAAAAATTAAGAGCATTTCATGTTCAGATATGAGGATAAAATATTCATGTGTGTCTGTGATTATCGCAAAAGAATCTTATAAATATAAAACCATGAACCCATTGCCTTGAATTCAAAACTGTACATACATAGACACACAACAAAAACCATAACAACTTTTGTAATGGAACAATATCTTGAACAAAAAACCCCGAACAAAACAACAAACATACAATAGCAAATATCAGCTGAGGACCTTTTTTTTTTCTTTCTTTTTTTTAAAAAGTAGAGGTTTTACGGCGCTCGCAACTGCATAAGGTCATATGAGCACCAAGGGGTGGGTGTCAACAGAGAAGTCTTTACAGGGAATCAGACCTGCTCATCTCTCTAGCTTCAACAGCACAAGGTCTGCTTCGACTATCAAGGCACCCCAAAATAGCAGGTCACAAGAGATTGACAAACATACAAAAAAGTAGAGGAAAATGACAATAGTAAGGATCAGGAAAGAAAAAGCAGCAGTTCCCTGTTGTAGATCAGGCACAGTTATGAGCATGACATGAGTCAGCCCATTTACAATTCTACTATGCTTGAACGATAAATGTCCCCCCTTTGGGAATGAGGACTTCTGGATTAAAAATAACCATCAAGTTGAGACAAGGCTCAGGCGAAAAAAGACAATTATCCCATGAGAACAGAAACAAGATCATTAACAAGCCTGTCCCAAGATACCTTTGTTAGCCGAGCAAAGTCCTAGGGCAGAGCACACTTGGTCAGGCTTAAGTTCCTGCAGCAACAACTGGATGATGGTTGGGCCGTACTGCTTGACCAGGTCGTCACATTGCTGTTTCAGATCACCAGGGAGGATGGCACACACTCTGTCCAGCATCTGCTCAATCTCAGCCTGGAACAACATCGCACATGTCAGTGACAAACTCCACAACATAAAACAATATTACATTGCCAGAAGATATTTGATACAAGACTTACTAAACAATCATTACCATATTCTCCCTTAAATGTTCACTGATTCTACACTTCAAATGTTCTCAATATTAACAAGCATGGAACAACCCTGCAATTCTTAGAACAAGAAAATTATTTCTATTACACCAGTCTCTTTGGTGAAGAACAAAAAGGAGGCAAAAGATGCATCTATGACATATTTGATACATTCTTTTTTTTTTGCTTATACTCGTATTTAAGAATCAATTTTCACATAAAAACTATTCCTCTAGGGCAAGACCTTACTCCTGAATGCCTCTGTCAAAAAACCAAAACCTAAAACCAAAAGTAAAACAAACAGGAGCCCTCACCTCCGTGCTGTTCTTCTCTAGGAAAGTGTCCAGATACTGCACCACAAGCTTGCAAAGGTCACACAGTTCACTGTTTGGTTGGGCCAGTTTCACTGTGGCCATAGAGAAAAAAAAGAAAGGAGAAATAACAATTAAATCTCATGGAGTGTATACATTACAGCAATGCAAAAATACCAAGGGCATTTGAAGTCAAGATAGGAAAATATTATACATGGTCATCTATGAATATCATCAAACCACTCAGCCATTGTTACACATTCAAAATTGAACCAATTTAATGAATACCTATGAAAACAACTAAAAATCATTGTTTAAATTCAGTAATAGTTTATAGTATGATTAGAAGAAACAAAACTAAACAACATACATTCAACAACAAATACATGCGAGAGACTTTTGGACTAAAATAACAATCGACTTGAGAAATTGTTCAAACTGAGAAAATAAACGATTATAATAATAATAATAATTGCATTTATATAGCGCATATCCATGCTCAAGAGAATGCTCTATGCGCTTTACAACTATTATTACCCCAGCAGACCCTCTGAGAACACTCAGAAACATTCTCAGCTTCCGCGGAAGCATACAGTGCAAGCTGCGGATTTCACGCGCTCAAACACTATCAAACTGACAAGATCTTTCACTGTCTATAGTCGGGTACCCATTTCCACCTGGGTGAAGTAAGGAAAATTTGTGCAAAGTGCCTTTCCCAAGGACACAACGTCAGGCCCCTGACGGGATTCGAACCCACGACCTTATGGTTGCGAGTCCGAGAGCCTAACCACTAGGCCACGATTATCCCATGAGAGCAGAAACAAGATAATTAACAAGCCTGTCCCAAGATACCTTTGTTAGCCGAGCAAAGTCCTAGGGCAGAGCACACTTGGTCAGGCTTAAGTTCCTGCACCAACAACTGGATGATGGTTGGGCCGAACAGCTTGACCAGGTTGTCACATTGCTGTTTCAGATCACCAGGGAGGATGGCACACACTCTGTCCAGCAGCTGCTCAATCTCAGCCTGAAACAACATCACACAAGTCTACTGAAAAACTCCACAACATAAAACAACATCACACATGTCACTGACAAACTTACTCCACAACATAAATGAACTTCACATTACATTACCAGGTTATTTTTTATTTATTGCTTATTGTTTCAGGAAGCAACATCTCTGCACTCCGGACATGTCCATTGATGCTCCGTTGCTCTCTCCAAAATGTCGCCGAGGGTCCTTCTACTGATTGTGCCAGTGCACATCTGGTTGAACATTCTTCTGTTCTTTCCTGCAAGGATGCCAGATTTTCCGCTTCCCTTTTTTTATTCCCAGAAGTATCATCCTCTCCAAGGCAGTACTATTTAAAAGTCACTTAATAAACCACTGCCCAATTTTTCCCCTTCGCAAGACGAAAACGAGATGCACATTGCCTCTGACATCATGTATTCCCCGAACCTTTACCACCAATACTATGTTTATGCGTACAACACTTTCAGAGTGTACGAGCAGGGACAAGAGCAACACAATTGCAGTCTATCAGCACAGTATTTTTAAAATTAATAATACAAATACACCTCTTATAAAAACAAGTAACAAAAAGAATTCTGATGATAACCAGAACAGAATCTCACCTCTGTGCTGTTCTTCACCAGGAAACTATCCAGATACTGCACCACATACATGCACACGTTGCACAGTTCAGGAGTTGCTTTCTTGGGAGCTACCTCCACCACTTTTCTTGCAGCTGCACAAACGTTATCGAAAAACAAAATCTTTCAAAATGTAAAAACTTTTGTTTCATTCAATGCCAGATGTAGAATATACTTATAGGGGATAGAGCGATATATATATAAATACTATCTATTATTATTGTTATCATTACTTATTATTACTACTACTACCAAAGCAGACCTGATTGCACTCTGAAACAATCTCAACTTCTGCGGAAGCATACAGTGCAAATCTACCAACAGTCCAACACGTATCGTGAAAATTTACAAGTAAAAATTTTTGTGCAGCATCTCTATCTTTTCACCATATTCTTTTGTTAATTCCCCCCCCCCCCTCAATGTTAAACAGTTGTGTTGCAGCATACAAACAAAAAGTTTCCGATTGTCAGTTTTTCTGTGAGAGAGTGAAGAAACAAAGGCAGCTAGTCACAAATAACCAGTGACAAAAGATAACACAAAAGATGGCATATAAACCAACCTATCACCAATGGTGTAACATTAGTTACTATCATCCTTACACAAATTTTCCTCACCAACCTATCACCAATGATATAACAGTAGTTACTATCATCCTTACACAAATTTTCCTCACTTCACCCAGGCGGTGTTATTGGAGTAATGAAATATTGAGAGTTACGGGCCCATGGGACTAGGGGGCGCTGAGCGAGCGGAACAGAGTTGCCGCCCCATGACACTTGGGGCGCTAAAACATGGTTATAAAGGTGAGGGGGGAATTCTGTGCGGGTCCCTTCTTTTCCGTCTCAGTACTAGAGACTAAGAGTGGCTGACGGTTTCATAGCTGCCGGCAAAGTGACCTCCGAGGGCCCGACGACGTGATCTGAACCGGCCAGCGCAGGCGAGTCGCCACCATACTGAACCTCACATGTTCTCCTGCTCGTGAGTTGCCGCCAGAGGGTAAGTACAGTGTTTCTACCTCGCAATCACAGGTGGGAATGGGAACCAGGTTATTGATCTTGTAAGTTTGTGATAGTGTCTAATCGCTTAATCTCCTGATGCACTGTATGCTTCCCGGGAAGCCAAGAATGTTTCTGAGTGTCCTGAGATCTATCTGCTGGGGTAATAGCATAGATTGTAAAGCGAAGAGAGTTTGCTGTTGAGTAGGGATATACGCTATACAAATTTTATTTATTATTACGCTACAAATACATCTTCTAGAGCTTTCTGTTGAGCGGGGATGTGCATTATACCAATGCTATTTATTACATGTATTACATCACAAACACATCTCCTAATGCCAGTTCCAGACCTACTATCTAAGCCCTTTTTGCGAGTTAAAATCCCTTTCCACCTTTGTTGAGTATCTCAGTCTTTCTAACGGGATACTGTATCCCTCTCAGCCCTGGCCTGACAAGGTCAGAAGTTCGCCTCCTACAAGAATCGTGCCGATGGGGGCATAAAAAACCCCCAAACCAATTACATTTTAAAAAGAATAACATTTTTAAAAATCAAATTAAAAAAATTTTTCTCCAAAGATGACAAAACATGTCCACCTCACTCACCTGAGCACAGTTTCAGGTCTTGACAAATCTGGTCTGGTTTGAGCAAGTCGATCAGTTTGTGAAGGGCAATGGAGGTATACTGCAGCACGATGGAGTTACACTCTTCCTTCAGAGTCCCGGGGAGGGATGCGCAAATTTTCAAAAGACCGGCTTCAATCTCCGCCTGAAAAGGTATGATGCATACAAGTTTTTAAAAAACAACAAACAAAAAATCAAGAAAGAGTGGTCTCAGACAATCATTTGACAATGTGTACTGTTTTAAATCTATCACCTTGAAAACAAAAGACACAGAGTTTGATTCTCAAGAAGGAGGACACAATTTATTGAGCACCTTCATCTTCCTGCAGAGATGTAGTTTCTCATTTAGCCAAGATTGGCCCCGATATGCAGGGTAGGAGTAGCTGCCTCAAAGATTATCTTAACTGCGTCAAAGACAATATAAAAATTCCCAATCAAAGAATATAAAGGTCAGCGTTTGTTAACCCTATCTGTACGCCCTGGGTAATTTTGTAACCCCGATGTTGTATTTTTCACATTCTAAAATACTTCTAGTGCAAAAATCTCAGAAACTTTCAGTATTTCTCAAAAAATCATTTTGACAAACTGCTATGCAAAGCGTACGGATCGGATTAATGAGTAAATTTCCTCTTTGGAAAGTGGTGACACAGAGTTCCTCACGTTGTATGGATATGATAGTAAAATACGACGTACGGATTGGGTTAACCAATAGCCACAAGTCAACATTCGCATTGTGTCAACATCAATATTTAGTTTAGTTTTAGTAGGAGATCTCTGGTACACACAACACATCAAACTCTGTGTCTTTTGTTTTCAACCCAATAGGTTTAAAACAGCACACATTGTCTGAGACCACTCAACATCCGCAGTCAGCCAACATTCTCAAAAGAAAGGCGGATTTATTTCATTCCATCATATTGTTTATAAAAACAACAAACAGTGTTTGTAGGGGGGGGGGGGGGGGGTGGGGGGGTTCCCATTTCCCATTAGGTTTTTAGTACATTGTCATGAAGTATCAGTACAGTGATCTGTCTGCCTTATTTGTTTTGTTTTAGTAGAGGTTTTACGGTGCTTGCAACTGTGTAAGGTCATATGAGCGCCAGATGATTAGAGGATTACAAGAGAGTAACAAACATAAAAAAGAAGGAGGGGAGATAAGGACGATAAATGTTTGATAGGAAAGAAGAAGCAAACCACACCAGAGCACCTGCCAACCACCCACTGTCAGTCTACAAGGTATGTAAAATACTGTGGAGATAGAAAAAAAAGCTCCCCCCAAAAAGACGAGTACCACAGAAAAACCACAAAATAATAGTAACAATAGTTTTTCAATGTCTGACGACGACCAATACATCTGCAAAGAAAAATATTTTCTTAACGAGAAATAGAAGAAACTAGCTGGGCCCCCTTTCGATGAAAGGAATGATCGGCGCCTTAATATCAGCTAAAAGTCATTGGCCTACTTTATTTACACTCTACTGGAATGGGGAAATAAATCTTGAGAGATGCAAAAATTAGAAGGTCTTGTTCTATACTCTCAAAATGATATGCCCCTCGTGAAATATCACTTCCAGATTTTATAAAATTACAGAGACAGAAGCGTCGGCCTACAAAAGCGATCGGCGAAATAAAGGAATTTAGCTTTTTGCAGCAAAACTGTCTCAAAACTGAAAAAACCAAGGGCGTCATGATCTGGTGAATATTTTAAAGAACTTTTTGGCGAAAACCGCATTTCGATCGATGCAGCCATTAAAAAGCCACATTCGGCCACCACAAATAGATAATAGATAAGAATTATGATGAGACTTGCCACACAGAAAACCACAAAATACAAAAAATGGACATTTCACATAGAATTCCGCATTTAAAATAATATTGTCAGGAGTTACAGTGTAATAAACAGAAGTTGCGCAATGTTAGTCACCTTACCCAACCAACAATCTTTCAGATTTATAGAAAGGGAAATACTCAATACTCACATCCGTTTTATTCTCAGCAAGGAAATTGTCTATACTGTTCACAACAAGCTTGCACACATCACACGCTTCAGTCTTGACAGCAAATTGGGAAATGTCCACTTTCACTGCAAATAAAGGATTCAACACAAAGTAAGAATCAGTAAATTAGGAATCTTTCAAATTATGTGAATTATATTATTTACCATCTATGAAACTTAAAACAATGGGTGAAAGGGCATTTGAATATCAAGGCCCCAAGATCTGGAATGCTTTTCCAAGTACTTTAAGGGAGATCAAATCTCTTGATTCATTCAAATGTCAGCTGAAGTCATTTCGGTTTTTTAATTAATAAAATGAATATTTGGAGTGATTTTCTTTTAGTCAGCGCACAACGTTTTATGTCACTGTGGTACATTGTATTATACAGTGTACTGTATTGCAAAGGGCTCAGAACCTGTGTACTTTAATTAGATTGAGCGCTATATAAATGTCATTAATTATTATTGTTATTAAGTGAAGACAAAATGTTTGTCTGAATGGGAAACAGAAGGAAGCAAACAACTACAGCCGAGCCCGCTCTAATGGCCACCTGTATAAGACAGCCACCTGTATAACACAGCCACCTGTATAACACAGCCACCTGTATAAGACAGCCACCTGTATGAAACAGTCACCTGTATAAGACAATCACCTGTATAAGACAGCCACCCGTATAAGACAGTCACCTGTATAAGACAGCCACCTGTATAAGACAGCCACCCGTATAAGACAGTTACCTGTATAACACAGCTTTTAGTCAGTGCACAACGTTTTATGTCACTGTGGTACATTGTATTATACAGTGTACTGTATTGCAAAGCGCTCAGAACCTGTGTACTTTAATTAGATTGAGCGCTATATAAATGTCATTAATTATTATTGTTATTAAGTGAAGACAAAATGTTTGTCTGAATGTGAAACAGAAGGAAGCAAACAACTACAGCCGAGCCCGCTCTAATGGCCACCTGTATAAGACAGCCACCTGTATAAGACAGTCACCTGTATAACACAGCCACCTGTATAAGACAGCCACCTGTATAAGACAGTCACCTGTATAAGACAATCACCCGTATAAGACAGTCACCTGTATAAGACAGCCACCTGTATAAGACAGCCACCCGTATAAGACAGCTACCTGTATAACACAGCCACCTGTATAAGACAGTTACCTGTATAAGACAGCCACATGTATAAGACAGCCACCCGTATAAGACAATCACCTGTATAAGACAGCCACCTGTATAAGACAGCCACCTGTATAAGACAGTCACCTGTATAAGACAGCCACCCGTATAAGACAGCCACCCATATAAGACAGCTACCCGTATAAGACAGCCACCTGTATAAGACAGTTACCTGTATAAGACAGCCACATGTATAAGACAGCCACCTGTATAAGACAGTTACCTGTATAAGACAGTAACCTATATAAGACAGCCACATGTGTAAGACAATCACCTGTATAAGACAGCCACCTGTATAAGACAGTCACCGGTACAAATGGCCACTTCCCATTTCCCCCTTGCATTTTCTTCCCATTATAATACCACTGTGTAAGCCGGCCACCTGAGTAAGACAACCACATTTCTCTTGACAGTTGATTGCCATCATAGACAATATCTGCAGTAATCGGTGATATTTTCCCCAATTTACAGATGAGCATTTACCATTTTTTGCAAAAAAGATTTTTAAAAACCTCACCTTGGTTGGTCAAGCAAAGTCTAAGGGCAGAGCACACTTCGTCGGGCTCGAGCTCTCGCACCAACAACTGGACGATGATTGGGCCGTACTGCTTGACCAGGTCGTCACATTGCTGTTTCAGAAAACCGGGAAGGACGGCACACACTCTGTCCAGCAGCTGCTCAACCTGAGCCTGATTTTTAAAAAATATTAAAGACATCCATTGACAAACTAATCCACAGCACGGATCGATATCACATTACCAGATTATATTTCATAGAAAGTCACTTGGGAAAAAACATAAAAAACACCCCTGATTTTTCTAGTTTGTGTTCCGGACTCTAGGTTTCAATTGTTCTTAATACACCAAGAATGAAACAAAGCTGCAATTTTCAGAACTCATTCACCAAATTATTCCTAACTTTGATAAAGTACAACTCAGAGGGAAAAATAATGTCTTTTACCAATTTGTTACATTTTTAAAAAATTTATGCATTGATAAATCACTTTCCACATTAGGACTTTTTTGTCAGTGTTATACTACGCTTCCAACTGCATATGCTCATATGAACTTGGAGGACACATTAAAAATTATCAGCTGGGAAGATATTTTGAATTTTGACTGTGTGGCAGTTGAAGCCTACTCATCAATTTTAAGACCACCAAGGAATCTTTAACGTGCACAACTTGCACTCAGGACCTCTGAGATTTTTCGCCCTTATCCATTAGGACTATTTCTCTTAAACAAGACTTATTTTGTTGATGCCTCTACCAAAAAAAAAAAAACAACAAAAGTGTAAAGATCAAGTCCTCACCTCAGTGGAGTTCTTCTCCAGGAAACTGTCCAGATACCCCACCACAAAGTTGCACAGGTCACACGCTTCACTGTTTGGTTGGGCCAGCTTCACTGTTGTTACAAATGTTTGTAAAAGTAAGAAATCAATGAAACATAATGGTATGCATGGGTTAACAGTAAGGCTCACATATAAAGTACTTATAATAATAATGATGTAGATAATTTCTGTATGGCCCTCTCCTGTACAATATAGCACTTGGAGCTTTACAATTCCTTCATCTTAACCCTATCAGTACGCCCTGGGGTCATTTTCTACCCCACGGGGTTGTATTCTTCACATTTTAGAATACTTCTAGGACGCAGATCTCTTTGAAACTTTCAGATTTACTCTAAAACTCATTTTGACAGACTGCTATGCAAAGCGTACATATCGGATTCACGAGTAAATTTCCTCTTTGGAAAGTGGTGGCACAGAGTACCCCACGTCGTATGGATACAATAGTAAAACGCGATGTACGGATAGGGTTAATAAATTGATTCGTACCATCACAGCCCAATTTGCCAACCCTCTTAGCACCATAAATCGGTCCGAGGGTCAGCACAGCAGAACCAAAATGGCGACCAGCTGATGGCTTCCCAGAACCAAATTATTTCAGCACTTTTCAGAGGTTTAGGAGGTGTGGCAAAGAAATTGCTTTTGATCTAAGAAGTGTATTTCAAAGAAATTTCACATACAAAGACCTACGACGTCAGCATCAAAATTAAGAAAGGAATTTTCTTATTTTTAGCCGGCACTAAAGGTGTGTGTGTGTGTAGGGCCAGAAAAGAGCTGGTATTGTTCTACAGCGGGAAAGCCAGTAAAAGCTTGTACGGCAACAGGGCAGGAAGGCCAGGTTAGGCCAGCATGGCACAAAAAGGGTTGTTTTTGTTTGCTTTAGTAGAGGTTTTACGGCCATCGCAACTGCATAAGATCATATGAGCGCCAAGGGGTGGATGTCAACAGAAAAGTACTTATAGGGAATCAGGCTTACTCTGCGCACCTCTATAGCTTCAACAGCACAAAGTCTGCTTCGACTGTCAAGGCGCCCCGGAAATAGGGGGTCACAAGTGTGACAAACGTACAAAAGTAGAGGGAAAATGACAATAGCAAGGAGTAGGTAAGAAAAAGCAGCGGTTCCCTGTTGCAGTTCAGGCACAGTTATGAGCATGACATTGATGAATCAGCCCATTTACAATTCTACTGTGTATAAGCGTATAAGAACATGTTAATGCTGTGTCTCTCCCCCCCCCCTCTGGAATGGCTTAACCCTTCCAGCCCCAAGCGCTTATATTTTCAGCAGCGCTTGTACCTCCCTCCATCCCAAGAGCGTATATTCTCAGTTTCGGGGGGTGCCGAATTCGCGCATTTTTCGAAATTAGCGAACTTCATTAAATTTTAATTTCCTTATTACCTGTTCATTTATCTTCAAAAATTGGTATATGTTATTATCAAAGCTACATAACAAAGATACTACATCACTTTTTAGAAATAATGCCTTTTTCTGAAATACTACTGTATTGGCTGGGCCTGGTGTTAGGGAGTGCACAAAAATGGCTGGGGCTGGAAGGGTTAACACACTTCAGTCAGTAGAAGAGTGGAATAGTCAAATCTATTCCATAAGAATGCAAACAAAGTCATCAAAATTCATCGTCCCAAGATACCTTTGTTAGCCGAGCAAAGTCCTAGGGCAGAGCACACTTGGTCAGGCTTAAGTTCCTGCAGCAACAACTGGATGATGGTTGGGCCGTACTGCTTGACCAGGTCGTCACATTGCTGTTTCAGATCACCAGGGAGGATGGCACACACTCTGTCCAGCATCTGCTCAATCTCAGCCTGAGCAATAAAGTAGTAGATGCTTTGACCATACCATATAAACAGTAAAAACTTAAATTACAAGAACAACAATAATTGGTCGCTTTTACGGACAAGCAGGTAACCCAGATTTCAGGGGTTTCCAGAAATCTTGACCTACACCAAAAGTGGGCATTGCCCTACCTATAGGGGAAGTTTGGTTTCATTGGTGCGTATATTTGTTTGGTTATAGAGAAAACTTTCCTCGTCTTTTCAAGAAACTGAACAAGGGGCAAAATCTTTACCTTCGATTTTCTCTAAGCAGAATTTTTTTAGATAGCCCCCTTGTGCTTAAAAGCGACCAATTAATCATTTGAAGTCAAAACTACTCGACTCAAACAACCACCTGTCCACAGTTCACATGTACAAATAACCCCCCCCCCCCCCCCCAACTGTATATTTTCTATATTATTGCCCTGTCTGAGATGACCACTTTTCTCCCTGACAATGGGTTCTTTTTTTAAAGTCTAGTAAGAGACGAAAATTAAAATGGTATGGGCATGTCACAAGATCCACAGGACTCACCAAAACAAAACTACAAGGAACCGTACAAGGAAAGAGAAAGAGAGGAAGGCAGAAAAGGAGACGGGAGGACAACATCACAGAGTGAACAGGGAAAACGACGGGTGACAATCTGAGGAAAGCAGAGGACAAAGAGAGTTTTCAGATGCAGTGGGGCCCCCACGGTTGCCCCAACCACGGGATAGAAGAAGAAGAAGAAGAAGGTTCCACAGCGCTCGCAACTGCATTAGTTCATATGAGCGCCAAGGGGTGGATATCAACAGAAAAAGTCAAAATGGGGAATCAGGCTTACTCTGCTCACCTCTCTAGCCTCAACAGCACAAAGTCTGCTTCGACTACCAAGGCACCCCGGAAACAGCAGTTCACAAGAGAGTGACAAACATACAAAAGAAGAAGAGGAAACATGAGGATAGTAAGGATGAGGAAAGAAAAAGCAGCAGTTCCCCCCATGTTGTTCCGGCACAGTAAGAGCATACATTGATAAATCAGCCCATTTACAATTTTACTGATCATAAGGACATGTTAATATCTCCCCTTTGGGAATGACCTAAAGACAACTTCAGTCAGTAGCACTGCCCTGGTGGGGGACAATGGGTTCTGTATTTATAATAGTTATCAAAAAGATAAAAGACAAGTGCTGAAGTCACTCTTGTGATGAACAGAACAAAGTAAAGGCAACAAAACTTTGTCATAGAACAATTGACTTCCACCTCAGGTTTAACTTCCACCTCAGGTTTAACTTCCACCTCAGGTTTAACTTCCACCTCAGGTTTAACTTCCACCTCAGGTTTAAGGCTTTCACTTGCTTGGTTTGCCTGTCCACAAATACTTCCCAAACATGCTGTGATGAAAACGTACTTCTTTCCTCAGACACCACAAGCTATTTCTTAGCGACACTTAGAGGGTTAATCTAAAGCCACAAATGACACGAGCAGACTTTTCAATGAATTAGAAGATTTGATCTCTCTTAAATCACTAGGTAGTGCATTCCAGATTTTGGGGCTCTGAAATGTAAATACCCTTTCACCTACTGTTTTCAATTTCATTCACAGTCAAAATAATTTCTTTTGGTCAGCTGACGACCTGAAAATATAAACTGAGAGCTGGAATGTACAGTTTGAACATATTTGATAGATGAATACGACGACACATCAATTATCAGTCAAGCATTTGTGACACAGAGTGGCCACTTTGTAAATCTTGCCATCAATAAACAGCCACACTTCTTTTAGTTTTAGTAAGTGTTTTACGGCACTTGCAACACAATAAGGTCATATACGTGCCGAAGATTAGAGGTGTTACAAGAGAGTAACAAACATAAAAAAGAAGGAGGGGAGAAAAGGATGATAGTTGTTTGATAGGAAAGAAGAAGCAAACCACACCAGAGCACCCGCCAACCACCCACAGCCCACCTCTCTCACCTCCGTGCTGTTTTTCTCCAGATAATTGTCCAGGTACTGGACCACGTACTTGCACAGGTCGCATAGCTCACTGTTGGCCTTCACGGGAACACGCAACATTTCCTGCTCACCTACAATGGGAGCAAACCTTAGGTTTTAGTAAGCGTTTTACGGCACTTTCGACACAATTAGGTCAATTGTTTTAGTAGGCGTTTTATAGCACTTGCGACACAATTAGGTCATTTAAGTGCTGAAGATTAGAGGAGTTACAAGAGAGAAACAAACATAAAAAAGACCGAGGAGAGATAAGGATGATCACTGCAAACCTTAGGGTAATTCACAAGAGTAACTTTTTTTAAAAACAACTTCATTAATTCAATAATTCTATCAGCAATTACAGCTGATTACAAGAAAAGGTTATATTCCTTTTAAATATACAGAAACACACAACACAATAACAAAAGTAAGAGATATCTTAAATCAATTAGGACTGAAAATTATGTTATGCAGTCAAATGTCAATATTGCACACTTAAAGAAGTCAGTACTTTTCAACAACTTGAGTAAAAATCTAAAGAAATCTGGGGCTAAAATGGAATCACTATTTTCTTTTTTGTCTGCAAAGGTCTTCTAAACTTATAACTATAGCCAGAATACAAGTGACCTAACTTTGACAAACTGTGTTCTGTTTCTACTTAAACCAAATCAAATTTTAAAAAAAACTTAATCAACATTACGAGGCTTTATATTTCATTCTTCTTCGTTCTCAACGACAGAGAGTCAATCCGGTGGTGCGCATAAATTGTGCAGTTCTCTTTAGATCCGCAAAGCAGCCACACATTTTGTTCTTCGGTGATGTAGCATATACAGTATCAAACTATGAAACATAAAAATAGCATTGACAGGACTCACCTGTTGTGTTAGGACAGAGTCCTAAAGCTTTGCAGACTGCGTCTGGTTTCAGCTTCTGCAGCAGAAGTTTGATGATGAGAGGCTCGTACTTATCGACATATTCCCTACACTCCGCGGGAAGTTTGCCAGGCAGGCCGGCACATATAAGATCCAGTTCCTTTTTAATCTCCTCCTGTCGCAAAAAGAAAGTATAACGCAGTTGAGGGGACTAAAAATGATAGGAATAAAAATGATAAGTCGATGATTTTTCTAAACAAGTAAAACGCCTGCTGTACAAAAGCAGATAAACAAAAGCAAAGCCTAAAAAATGAGCAATGTAGTAGTATAAAGTATAAAGAAACAAAATCTCACAATAATGCTCATTTCATTTCTAAAAACTAACATCCCCCCCCCCCCCTTTAAAAAAATCCAGGAAAATAAAAACAAAACAATCTGAAAACTCTTGTGTCTTAAATCATGTGATATTCTTTATCAAAAGACTAGAAGGAGAAACAAAATACTTACATAAAGAAAACAAAGACAAAAATTGTAATTTTTCCAAATAACGGTAGTGTTAAAAAAAAGAAAATGTAAATTACCGCTGTGGAATTTTCAGCAATAACGTGATCGAGCTCCTTCATCACGAACTCACACAATGAACAGCTCACACCGGAGACTTCGCGCTGGGCATCTGAGCAGGAGTAGACAGCTTAGTTTTAGTAAGTGTTTTACGGCACTTGCAACAAAAATAAGGTCATAGAAGTGCCGAAGATTAATGATGTTACAAGTGAGTAACAAACACAAAAAAGAAGGGCGGGAGATAAAGCCGACAGACGTCTGAGAGGAAAGAAGGAGCAACCCAAACCAGAGCACCCGCCTACTCTGGAGATGAACCTGTGCATGCCTGTGTGTGTGTGTGTGTGTGTGTGTGTGTGTGTGTGTGTGTGTGTGTGTGTGTGTGTGTGTTTGTGTGCATGAGTGCGTGTGCGTTGTATAAACTTACACTGACAATCATTTATGAATTAAAAAAACCATGCCATATTAAGTAGAAGGTGCCCATCCTTTTAAAGTCTTAACGAGAATAGGAAGTCGACTTTTAAAGAATTTGTCTTCATATGAGCCCTAACCATGAATTAATGCACACGCGTTCCAGAGAAAATGACTTCAGGCCACAGCTGAAAAAGTCAGTATATACTGGGAACCAATCCAAAAATGAAAAATGTGAGGCAGCATGGTGGAATCAGGCTCTCGTCAAAATAATCAAAGTGAAGAAACTTGCATTTTTCTGCAGGTTTGTGAATTTTTATCAAATTTTTGTTTTTTGGCTCAAGGCCTTTCATGCCCATTTAAGAACTCATTTCTGTGTGGATTTTTCTGAAAAGCGTTGAGTTAAGGCACAATAATATAAATTTTCAGTTACCATATACTCTTAAACTAAGGAAATAATTATCTCTGGCAGCCATTTTCTCACTAATTTTACCTCTGAAAGCATGTGACCCCCACCTCCTTCTTTCTCAAATATCTCGACTTGTACTCAAGATAAATGGATTTTTTTTCATTCAAATAAAGACAAGTGAACAAGCTTTAAGATGATACCAATAACTCTACACGCCCAAAAATTGGCGAGAGCCTGATTCCACCATGCTGCCTCACATATAGACAAAATTCCTTGTTAATATAAAAATTTCCACTAAAATGACGGGGAAAAAATATTCGACTAACAACATATGGAATTTGTAACTGTGAAGTGTTGACAGACACTCAGATACATAAAACAAAAAAATTGTGTAGTTACGCAACAAGACCATACTTCACTTTTTCTAGTTTCAGTAGAGGTTTTACGGCACTCGCAACTGCATAAGGTCATAAGAGCGCCAGAAGATTAGAGGTGTTACAAGAGAGTAACAAACATAAAAAAGAAGAAGGTGAAATAAGGACGATAGATGTTTGATAGGAAAGAAGGAGCAAACCACACCAGAGCACCCGCCAACCACCCACACCATTCTTCAAATGCTGCAGTGACATCACTCAATTCTGCACTTACTTCCTTGTTTCTATTTTTCAGTACAGTCTATTTGTATTTTGAGTAGGGGTAAAATGAATACGTATTACCTGTAGAAGTGCAGAGATGCAGCAACTTGCATATGTGCTGGGGACTGAGCTGTGCCTCTACAAAGGAAATGATCATTTTCTCATACTGTTGAACAAAAGCCTTGCATTCTGCCTGCACAGGTGATGGCAAGTCGTCGCAGAATATTTCCAGAAGTTTTTCAACTTCAGCCTGTAAAAACAAACAGAAAAAGAGCCAGAAGAATCAGAACTGCTGTGAACAGTGACTAATTCTTACAGAAGAAATGTTTTGCAATGCACGTGTATCTTTTTAAAAACACCCAGACAAAAGCAATTAAATTGTGGGCAGTATTGCACATAGACGTATCTCAAAGGCTGCCAAAAATGACTTACGTCTGTATGCAATAAAGGCCGCACAATGATTTCTTGCTCTTGGAAGTCCCCAGTGGGCGATTGACAGGTGCTGTGATGTGGTAGGCTCTTTCTTACTTATCTCTGCAGAAAGAGTCAGGAGCCCAGAGGAGGGGGCATAGGAGGTGAGTGGGTGGGGGCAGAAAGAGGAGACGAAAGCAGACGACAGAATATTGCTAGAGAGCAGGAAAGGAGAAGAAAGGAGACAATTTTAGAGAATAAAATTTTTCGGTCGCTACCCGGATTCAAACCCGGGACCTTTGAATGAGAGGCCAACACCTTAACCTCTAGGCCACGAGAGCCCCCCCCCCCCCCCTAAATCTTTAAAAAATCATTTCCTGAATTATCTCCATTTGATTACACAAAAGAGTGCCCACAAAAATACAAGCCCAGAACTGTTGCGAGCCCATGGCAGTTGAGTATAGCGACAGTAGGCAGCTTGGCAGTTCACTCGTGTACTTCCCGGGGCTCTGTCCAAAATAATAAATAATAAATAGCATTTGTATAGCGCATATCCCCGCTCAACAGCAGGCTCTATGCGCTTTACACTATATTATTACCCCAGCAGACCATAGAACACTCCGAAACATTCTCAGCTTCCTAGGAAGCATACAGTGCAAGCAGCTGATTAAGCGCTCAAACATAAACAAACTGACAAGATCTTTCGCTGTCTGCAGCCGGGTACCCATTCCCACCTGGGTGAAGTGAGGAAAATTTGGGTAAAGTGCCTTTCCCAAGGACACAACGTCGGGCCCCTGACGGGATTCGAACCCACGACCTTACGGTTGAGAGTCCGAGAGCCTAACCACTAGGCCACCGACGCCACAAAAGACAAGGAAGCATAGAATAGGACCACTGTATCCATACCACGCATGTCGTAGAAGGGGGCAAGGTCAATTGGGCAAAGGGATAGCAGCCCTTTCCCGTAAAACAAAATAAAAACATCAACAGCAAAAACAACACGACCGTGAGGCTCTGGAAGATGAAGGACCTTCGGTGGCCTATGCTCCACTGGGAGTTAAAAAGAGCAAGAGAGAGGCAGCTTGGTAGAACAGACAGCCTGAAACAGTCTCGGGCGAAGTAGGGAAGGGGTTAAAGAGGTTATGAAGAACAGACTCACGGCAGATTTGTTCTGTGCAATCCATTGGTCCACCTCTTTCACAACAAGCTGACACAGGACACACTCCCCAGCACCCTCAACTTTGGGCTTTTCTTCAGCTGAAAGAAAAAATAAAACACAAGACATTGCCTAACATGATGAAAATCAAAGTTTAATGAAGACAATTTCTTGGAACAAATCATGGTAAAATACAGCTGACAAAACTGACTTTTTTCATTTTTGGCGCCAAATCTTTATTTGCTATATCGAAAGCCTGATCTGTTATCCCACTTGTGTGAAAAGAATGAAAGTGAAACTGAGACTAGTTTTTGAATGAATCAGAGTTCAAATTTTGGAAGAATGCCTTTAAAAAATAGTTCTGCTCACAAAGAACCTCTTTATCTCGAAACAGCAGTAAAAGAGAGCCAGGAGTAGCAGTAGACAAGTTAGGAGTAAGGGTTAGAAGAGTCCAGAGGAGTAAGCAGGGGGCGGGGGAGGGAGAGAAGAAGTGGAGATGAAAGCAGGTGACAGAGCAGGACTAGAGAATAGGAAAGGAGGTGAAAATAGAACATTTTAGAGAAAAATTTGTTTTTGTTGCAGTCAGGTTTTGATCCTGGGACTTTTTGAAAGAGAGGTGAACACCGTACCTCTAAACCACGAGAGCCCCAAGGTTAGTAGAAAAACAAACAAAACAACAAAACAAAACAAAAAAACCAGAGGTTAAAAAAAACTCACTGATGATCATATTATTTTTCTTGCCGTCTTTTGAAGGACAAAGATCAAATTTCTCACACACAACAGTGGGTTCCTGAAACAGACACACACACAAAAAAAAACGTTTTTAAAAATGTTTTAGTTTTAGTTTTAGTAGAGGTTTTACGGCGCTCGCAACTGCATAAGGTCATATGAGAGCCCAAAGATTAAAGGTGTTACAGGAGAGTAACAAACATAAAAAAGAAGAAGGGGAGATTAGGATTATAAATGTTCGATAGGAAAGAAGGAAATGTGTCACAACGTGATGAAATCAGGTGTTTGTTAATTTTGGGGCATGTAGAGTTACTGGTACCATCTGGAAGCAGATTTAATTTATTTGCCTTGCTTCTTAGTTTTAGTAAGGTTTTACGGCACTCACAACTGCATAAGGTCATATGAGCGCCAAGGGGTGGATGTCAACAGAGAAGTCCAAACGGGGAATAAATAGGCTAACTCTGCTCACTCTCTAGCTTCAACAGCACAAAGTCTGCTTCGATTATCAAGGCACCCGGGAAATAGCAGTTCACAAGAGAGTGACAAACATACAAAAGTAGAGGAAAAATGACGATAATGAGGATGAGGAAAGAAAAAGCAGCAGTTCCCCCTATGTAGTTCCGGCACAGTAAGAGCATGACATTGATAAATTAGCCCATTTACAATTCTACTGTGCATAAGAACATGTCACTATCCCCCCTTTGGGAATGGTCAAAAGACACTTCAGTCAGTAGCACTGCCCTGGGGGAGGGGGGGGGGGGTGCCTTGCTTCTAATGAAAGAAATATCCATTTATCTTGAAAAGAACTGATATTTTCGATTGAAGGAAGTGAGTTCGCCTGTTTCCAGTGGTGAACTTAGCGAGAAAATGGCTCCCAAAAGTTTGGTATCTTCAATATCTAAAAAGTCTTTGAAAACTGAAAAATAATATATTTTTGAATGTTAAATCAATGTTTTACTGTAAAATTCACGTGGAAATATGTTTTTTTATGGACATATACGAGGTTAGCCAAAAAAAATTAAAATTTTATTAAAATTTCCAAACTGGCGGAAAAGTGCTTGTTTCTTTGATTTCGTTATTTTGACGAGCACTGATTTCACCACGCTGCCTCACAAATAATAGTGAGTACTACGCTGTTCCCTCTTTGCTGTACTCAAGACTTTATTTCATTTACAAACAATATCATCAGGGTTCTGGAACAGAATGAATAATATTTTCACCTTCCACGTGCCGATGGCTGATTGCATCAGTCAGACGGTTTGCTCTGAGGTGTCATGGGAGATTTAATCAGCCCTAATTAGCTTAGTTTTTTTTTCTATTTTTAGTTTAGTAGAGGGTTTTATGGCGCTCGCAACTGCATAAGGTCATATGAGCGCCAAGGGGTGGGTGTCAACAGAGAAGTCCTTACAGGGAATCAGACTTACTCTGCTCATCTCTCTAGCTTCAACAGCACAAGGTCTGCTTCGACTACCAAGGCACCCCGAAAATAGAAGGTCACAAGAGAGTGACAAACATACAAAAGAAGTAGAGGAAAATGACAATAGTGAGGATTAGGAAAGAAAAAGCAGCAGTTCCCTGTTGTAGATCAGGCACAGTTATGAGCGTGACATGATGAATCAGCCCATTTACAATTCTACTGTGCTTGAACGAGAAATGTCCCCCCTTTGGGAATGGCCTAAAGACACTACAGTCAGTGACACTGCCCCGGGGGGTAAGCCCTAATTAGATCGCTATTCCCGTTTTTTAAAATATCGCCAAAAATTTTAACTCCTTAGCAAATGTGCTCTACTTCACATTTACATTCTACTTTTCCAAAAATGATAGGTATATATATGCCCTTTTTCACTTTGTTAGCTTGGGGAAAGATAATGACAATAGATTCAGATGTTTAATAAATAAGACAGTGGATGGAAATCCTTGACAATCGTTTAAAACCCAGATTCTAAAATGTTCCATAGTCCATGATATCAGGTAAGCTAAAGTCATGCCCACATGCTGAATAAAAAAACAGAATCACTAACTATAATTAAAGCTTACCAGACCATAGTTTTACATTACTGTATAGCCCACATATCTACCGCAGCTTGATACAGAAGATTTCAAAATAGGCACAAGATAGACACAAGATAGACACAGATGCCCTGATTAGAAGGCCAGTACAGTGGCATGTCAGCCGTTCCTATCACAGATATTTCATACTACACAAGTTCAAGGCCATTCAGCGACTTACCAGCTCTGTTGCAATCAACTCAAACACATACTGTAGCCCTTCGTCAACAAGAAGATTACACTGCAATGACAGAAAGAAAAAGATGAACGTGACGCAATAACATTTTATTTCCTGTTTCAGAGCTGTCAAATGTAATCTGCTTGTTTGTTTGAGTAAGGAGAAGCACATCGACACAATAATGGTCAGTTAGTGTTGGGGGGAAAAGTAAGACAGACAGACAGAAACAACAGAGGGAAAATAAAGAAGTAGGGCATACCAGTGGCACCAACCAACCAACTGCCTCAAATGTTATTTATTCACTCCATCATGTACTGAAAAATAAACATAGCATATGAACAGCACAATTAATTAGCATGTTTTCCAAGTTTTGTTGACCGACCAGAAGGCAAGTCCCAAATGAGACAATGATAAGTGAAAAAACATTTGTGAAGCAGCGTGGTGGAATCAGGCTCTCGTCAATTTTTGGGCATATTGAGTTATTGGTATCATCTTAAAGCTTGTTCATTTGTCTGGCTTTCAATAAAAACATTACCCATCCATCTTCAATAGAAGAGGAGATATTTTGGATTGAAGGAGGTAGGGGTCACCTGGTTTAAGAGGTAAAATTAGCGAGAAAATGGCCACCAAAACTTGGTAAATTCCAAAGCTGGAGAGTCCATAGAAACTGTAAATTTATATTTTTGTACCTTTAATCAATGTTTTCGGTGAAATCCTCAAAGGAATGTGTTTGTAAATGGACATAAAAGGTGTTGAGCCAAAAAAACAAAAATTTGATAAAAATTGCGAAGCAAGGAGAAAACTGCTGTTTTCTTCGATTTCATCATTTGGACGAGAGCCTGATTCCACCACGCTGCCTCACATTTTAATTAATAACAAATACACATCATAGTTATGAGCAGAGATGTTTGTGGAGGACAGGATGTGTGAGAGAGAGTCTGTGTATGGGTGAGAGTAAGCACATGTGTATGCCAGTGTGCGTGCATGTATTTGTAAATGTGTATGTGGTGAGACACCAATCACCAAACGAATGTGTTAGGATCTGGACAATAAAGATTTATCTGATCTCATCTTATTCACAAACTCACAATGAAAAGATTGTACGCAAATTGAGAGAGAGAGAGAGAGAGAGAGAGAGAGACAGAGAGAGAGACAGAGAGAGAGAGAGACAGACAGACAGACAGACAGACAGACAGACAGAGAGAGAGAGAGAGAGAGAGAGAGAGAGAGAGAGAGAGAGAGAGAGAGAGAGAGAGAGAGAGAGAGAGAGAGAGAGAGAGAAAGAGAGTCATAGACCGAGACAGAGAGAGACAGAGAGACAGACAGTGTGAGTGATCATGCACTAGAAAAGTTCAGTGAGTGTGTCCACACCCAGGGTGAGATTTTTCCCTATGAGTCATGAGATGTTCCCAACAAAGAGTCACAGTCATTGTCACCGTCAAACACACTCCTTAGACAACTTACCAGATCTTGAAATTGTCCCGTTTTTGAGCAGGCATTTTTGAGAAGGCTCCTGATCACATTCTGGAAAGATTTCACAAGCAGACAAAACAAAACCGTAAGAATTTGAAGAACAGATTCTTTAAAAAGCCGAAACAAAACTTGTGTTAGGAATTTCATGTCAAGATCACCATCTCAACTGTGCCAAAAGATGGATCATCAATACATCAGTACCAAAATTTCAGAAACGAGCCCCAAATAGTAACTTGCCTGACTTAGATTACTGAACCCAAGCTACAAATTCTACTCTTGTACAATTATCATTAACGATTATCATAATTTCTGTATCTTTTCAAAGTTCTGACTCAAGGCTTGTAGAGAGTCTCTCCTTTAATTTTAAAAAATCTCACTGGATTGGGGTGAGGAAGAGGGGAGAGGGGATTCTTTACTTTGTTTTTGTTTTAGTAAGTGTTTTATGGCACTTGCAACACAGTTACGTCATGTAAGTGCCAAAGATTACAGGTGTTACAAGAGAGGTTTTTTTTTTTTTTTTAGTAAACATTTTACGGCACTTGCAACACAATAGGTCATATAAGTGCCGAAGATTAGAGGTGTTACAAGAGAGTAACAAACACACGAAAGAAGGAGGAGAAATAAGGACAATAGATGTTCGACAGGCAAGAAGGAGAAAAACCGCTCGAGAGCACCCACCAATTACCCACGTTCTGCATTCTAAAGAGAACAAACAAATTGGAATAGGATAAGAAAATACCTGAAGATCCTGATCTCGGTCCAAGGCGCGGATATCAGCCACGACAGATTTGCAGGTGGCACACAGGTCTTCAGAAGCAGCCTGAGTAGCCAGTAAGAGGACAAAAAATACATCATGATACAAAAAACGGGGTAGGAGCAACTGGCAACAGTCTTTGTTTCTGTAAGTGTTTTACGGCACTCGCAACACAATAAGGTCATATGAGTGCCGAAGATTAGGGGTGTTACAAGAGAGTAACAAACATAAAAAAGAAGGAGGGGAGATAAAGACGAGAGATGTTGGATAGGAAAGAAGGAGCACACCACACCAGAGCACCCGCCCACCACCCACAGGCAACAGTCTAACATGTCGATACACATTCTAAGTCAACAGAAACAACACGATTCTTAAAGAAAATAGCTAGATCAATAACAACAACAAGAGTAGCAACTTAAAGATATCGCTTATTTCTTCTTTTGACACACAACCCTGTACAGACGCCTAGAACTACAATTGACAAAAGTTGTTCATTACCACACTTCTACAAAGTACATCAAAGGCAAGTAACAATATGTCAAAGAAAGAGGACATGCAAAAGAGCCAGCTGCAGCAAAGAGAAATAGCAAAGTACTGAAAATGAAAAAACACATTCCTAAACACGAAAATACACATTCCTAAACACGAAAAAACACATTCCTAAACACGAAAAAACACATTCCTAAACACGAAAATACACATTCCTAAACACGAAAATACACATTCCTAAACACGAAAATACACATTCCTAAACACGAATAACATTCAGGACAGAGATCTTATTCATAAAACCCTCTTTGGACCAAAACAGGCATAAAAGCATCTCGTCATACCATAAACAAAATTTTATGAGTCTAACCAAAAACAATTTGTTCACAGATTCTCAAAACTTACCTTGTGCTGATCTGGACTGAAAGAATCATAGCACTTGGTTGATCCCTGGCAAGCTAATTTGGCAGACTGAGCAAGGAAAAAAAAAATTCATATTAGGCAATGCATGAATCCAAGGATTAAGTGTAGCTTTTCACACTCGTCTCGTCAATCTACTCACCTTCCCACACTACCGATGTCTATGGTCTAGGCACTTCGCTGTTGCACACAGAAGACCTGAGTTCAACTCTAAGGCGGGGGAAAATTCTTTATCGAGTTTCTCAGTCTTTCAGCTGGGATATTGCATCCCTCTCACCCAGGGTTGGCCCTGATAAACAGGGGATGAAGCCCACCCCCTAGATGATCGGACCTGTGTCGATGAGGGCGTAAGAAAAACTCCCACATTTTTTCTATTTGTGTGACGACGTGGTGGAATCAGGCTCTCGTCAATTCTTGGGCATGTAGAGTTATTGGTATCATCTTTAAGCTTGCTCACTTGTCTATATTTGGATGAAAAAATATCCATTTATCTTGAATACAAGTCGAGATATTTGCAAATGAAGGAGGTGTGGGTCATCTGTTTTCGGAGGTAAAATTAGTGAGAAAATGGCCGTCAAAGATTAGTTATTTCCTTAGCTTAAGCGTCCGTGGTAACTGAAAATTTACTTTTTTTGTGCTTTTAATCAAAGTTTTTAAGAAAAATCCACAGAAAAATGAGTTCTTTAATGGGCATGAAAGGTGTTGAGCCAAAAAACAAAAATTTGATAAAAATTCACAAACCTGCGGAAAAATGCAAGTTTCTTCACTTTGATTATTTTGACGAGAGCCTGATTCCACCACGCTGCCTCACATTTCCCGTTCAAAAGCATGCATGGTATTTAAAACAACCACCCCTAAGATATCAATGAAACAATCATATTTTCAAACCTTAGTCGAAATGCAAGAAGTTTAAACAAATATCTCAATGTGTTTTGTCCCCAAGAATGAGATCCAATGCCATAAGAAAAGAAGTTATCAAAATCAAACAGACTTACTGATTTGACGAAGCCTTGTAAAAAGTTCTCGTAGTTTGCCTGAGCCATAGACTGACACTGGAATAAAAGAAAAACAAGTTGAAATACGACACACAAACAAAACAGTGTCAGAAAAAAACCATGAGATGAAATAAAAATAAGAATATATACAGTCTTCAAGAAGAAATATGAAATTACCATATGAGAAAGAGGGGGGGAGAGAGAGAGAGAGAGAGAGAGAGAGAGAGAGAGAGAGAGAGAGAGAGAG